TCACCTACCTACTGCTAGTAAGAACTGTAGCCATTGTTGAGGGTAAGACGTGGCAAGTCCTCACCTTCTCCCCAGGCTGCCCTTCCACGTCAACCAGGCTTTCAATTTTGCTTTCCATAGTAATATCCCTTACAGGGGCCTGGCCATAGTAATACCCTTTACAGGGGCCTAGCCTGCCCTCTGGAACTGGTCACAAGAGACTGCTGCTCCAGGCCAAGGCTGGTCAGCAGACAGGAATTCCCTGCTGGGTATCTGGTGGCTCTCCCACCCTTGCCAGAGCCAGCAGATAACTAGGGGATAGGGAGCACCTCACCAAAGTCGGCTGTGCCTACAGCCAATGTAGTTTATTAAGCAGCAGCTTTCTAGGATTCCCCTGCTACATGAGGAAAGAGGCAAATTTCTGGCTCTACACTCACAAATTAGATGGGAATGTCAGTCCCTCTGTCATGTCTGGGATCTGGTGCATAACAATGTTCCTTGCACGCAGACAATCAGGCACTATCATGAGAAAAACATACAAGTGCAGCTTTACAGTGAGTAGAGGTTGATTGGGCTCTCAGTGCACCTCTTGGTTGCACAGTATGAACAGCCCCTGGGGATTTCCCCAGCTGGAAGGAGAATACTTGAGTATGTTCATTCTTCCTGGAGGGTGAAGCTATTGGTCTCTGTGGCCAGCCTACTACTGCTGCCCCTTCCTCTGTAGGGAAGACGATTGCCCAGGATTCCCGGGCACATGGCAAGCCTGATCGGCAGCTGCAGCTGCTAACTGGGAGCTGAGGCCCCCTTGCTGGAATGAGATGGTTCCCATAAGCCCAGGAAGGAGCTGGCTACCGGATGAGTTTTAGCTCCCAAGAGGAGCTAAAACGGACATGTTGAGAATAACATGGTATGGCCGTAGCAATTACTCTTCCCTTTCCCCAAAAACCAAAGACCCCAGCCAATCCCTAGCAAGAGAAACTTTGGGAATTAATAGTACTCTTAGTCACACATGCAAATCACACAATTCTATCCCGAGTTGACATTTTTAAATTTATTGTAGCATTACTATCAAGAATACATGTTTATGGTAGTATCACTATCAAGAATACATATAAATACATGGCTAAAGCCAAGGGCAGGACATAAGGAATATTCCAGGGTTAGTCAAAAGCTAGTCTCCCAAGAGGCCCAGAAGTCTAGATAGTAATGGGGATTTGGAACTGTTACATAGTCCTTCTGAAACCAAGGACTCAGCTGAGTTTTTCGCGGTGGGCTGGGAATCCTAGGGCAGGAGGCAACACAGTGGCAGGCCACACAGGGAGAGCCTGTGAATACACACTGCCTACGGTGTGTCCTGCGCGGGTGCCTGAACAATGATAAACTCTGTGTCCAGGGATATCGTGCATGTCTTCTGGGATTGTTCTTCTTATCTATGTACCTGATGATCATGATGATGCAGCCCGGAAGGCAGCCAGGGCAGCTTGAGCTTCCTGGCCAGAGTCAGCCTATGCCACCAGAAAAAAATGGTTAATACAGAAACTTAAGAAGGAAGCCACCAGGACTTCCAAGATAAACCTTTGTAACTAATAGCATTTGTTTAAGTTGGCTAAATTCAGGATTCCTAAAGGGCATGCCTGAAGTCCATATTACAGGATCGCACCCATCCACATGGGATCCTTCTGAAAATACTGTTGCCGTAAAGACGTCTTGGCTAAGGACCGAGGGGATGGACTGTGCAGAAAAAGGTTAACGTATCAGGCCTACGACTGTGATCCCTAGAAAAACCTGCCTGTTGGCCATTGGCTGACATCTGGAAACGTGAACTCTTGGAGGGTTCCTACCATTCCCTAAACTGTTAAGGTGGTTTACTGGGCCTAAGCTGTTTGTACAAATGATGTGATTAAGACTGATGCCTGCTTTCCTTCCCAAAGTCTGGATTTTTGGTGTGTGCCAGGCAGAGGGTACCTGTGTGATAAGTTCCCAATAGAGCCCCTGGGCACTAAGCCTCTCTCTAGCTGCCCGGGTGTTGTGACAGCCTGAGGCTAGATGAAGGAAGCGCCTCCTGTGTGACTCTGCTGGGGCAGGTACTCCCTGAGAACCTGCGCCTGGTTTTCGTTGGACTCCACCCATGCTCCTTTTCTCTGTGCTGATTTTGTTGTGTATGCTTTTGTTGTGATAAATCTTAACCATGAACCTGACTATGTGTTGAGTCCTTTGAGTCCTTTAGTGAATCAGCACACCCAGGGGACATCTTAGGGACTCCTGATGCCAACTTCTTAGAATTCTCATTGGAAAAACAATGTGGCAGGCTGTCAGGAAATGATAATGAGTGGAGCACAGGTGAAGAGACCAGCCAAGGGTGGCTGAGTGTGGCTCTCTCTCCAGCCTATCCAGTCTCCTATGAGGATGAATCAAAAATGGACTGCAAAGGAAAACTTTAAGTCCAAGGAGAGTATTCCCCATGAGTTTAAGAAATCCTTATTGTCCAGGCCTGACTTCCATAAAATGGAACTCACTGTGTCAGATGCTGGTGGTTTTGAAGGACTGTTGTTCTGAATTCTTTTGAGTGTATCTTGAGGAGCATTACTATTGTCAGAGTGCTGTGAATTTGCTATCTCAAGCTGAATTTTAAAATTTGACATTAGATTACAAAAAGCAGTGGGAAGGAGGAGTAAAATGGGAAGCCAGAACATTCAGGAATCACACACAGGAGTCGTTATGGGGGAGGCACAGTTTGGATTAAGTGGAATAAGTGATAAGGAAGGATTCTGGTAGAATCCAGGGGCTTGAACTACCCTTAAGGTAGAGCCTGAAGCCTCTGGCTTGTGCCAACAGAATCAGGACAAACCACGTCAGAATGCGCAGAAATGCACAGGAGCAGGGTGGCTTGGTTCATACAGCTATGGATTTGAATTCCAGCCATTCCTCCTTCTAGCTCTGTGGCCTTGGACAAGTTGCTAAACCTTTCCCTTGGTTTTAGTCTCATACCTTCCCCACTGGTTTTAGATGCTAGTAATGGGCTGAGCACAGATCCTGGAACACAGTTCAGAAGCCAACCCATAAACTGCTTATTGTTTTATTGTTAATCTTTTGTAGCTTTGGACACTCACTCTTTAATCTTCCCAGCATCCTCCCCTAGGGTTCAAAGAAGTTATCTGGGAGGGGTGATCCCTGAGTTGAAGGTAATGGCAGTGTCATACTTTTGGAATGGAGACAATATGTTCCGTTATTCCTCACATTTTTTTGAGTGTCTAGTTTATTCCGGGCACTGGTTTTTGAGATGCGAGCAAAGGAGATTGAGTGCCTGCCTCCCTGGAGCTGATATGCTTGAGGGGGGAGTCCCTGGCTTCTTCTGCAGAGATTTGCCCACGTCCTCCAATTACCTTATTGGTGAACAGGCCTCGCATCTGCTGAGGACATTCTGTGTGGTCACTAGTCAAGCCTGCCCTGTAGACACTGGTGACAGTCTGGGTGGAGGTAAAACATAATTGGTCTGGAAGCTCCATGTCCCCCCAGCTTACTAACTGGGTAAGGCAAGGAATGGGCCCAGGCAGTAAGAAGGAGTGGACTGAATGACTGTGAAAACCAGCAATTTATGTGATTTCTTTTGAGTCTCCAGAGGCAGAATGGTGTGAGATCACAGTCACATACCAGTAAGTGCAGATTGGGAGTATTCCCTCAGACAAGGAGAGATTATAGATGCAGAGGCATCTTTTCAATAAGTGTCCAGGCAGCAAAATAAATCACAGCCTATGTAGGTCAGAAGCAGTAAACTCTAACTTCTGGGCAGCCTCCAGACCATGTGGAGGGTAGATGGGGACACTAAACATGAAGGGACAGGGGTGGGTGGTATCCATGAGCCTTCATGAGTCAGCTGTGTGTATTTTCTGGAGATGGGACGTGGTACCCCTGTTAGGGTATCTGCATAGGAAGTCTCCAGTCTCCCCCATAACCACTAGTATTCAAAATCTTTGTATCTTTGAGCATGTGGGTTTGCATATAGACAGGTAGTTCCTCACCTACCTACTGCTAGTAAGAACTGTAGCCATTGTTGAGGGTAAGACGTGGCAAGTCCTCACCTTCTCCCCAGGCTGCCCTTCCACGTCAACCAGGCTTTCAATTTTGCTTTCCATAGTAATATCCCTTACAGGGGCCTGGCCATAGTAATACCCTTTACAGGGGCCTAGCCTGCCCTCTGGAACTGGTCACAAGAGACTGCTGCTCCAGGCCAAGGCTGGTCAGCAGACAGGAATTCCCTGCTGGGTATCTGGTGGCTCTCCCACCCTTGCCAGAGCCAGCAGATAACTAGGGGATAGGGAGCACCTCACCAAAGTCGGCTGTGCCTACAGCCAATGTAGTTTATTAAGCAGCAGCTTTCTAGGATTCCCCTGCTACATGAGGAAAGAGGCAAATTTCTGGCTCTACACTCACAAATTAGATGGGAATGTCAGTCCCTCTGTCATGTCTGGGATCTGGTGCATAACAATGTTCCTTGCACGCAGACAATCAGGCACTATCATGAGAAAAACATACAAGTGCAGCTTTACAGTGAGTAGAGGTTGATTGGGCTCTCAGTGCACCTCTTGGTTGCACAGTATGAACAGCCCCTGGGGATTTCCCCAGCTGGAAGGAGAATACTTGAGTATGTTCATTCTTCCTGGAGGGTGAAGCTATTGGTCTCTGTGGCCAGCCTACTACTGCTGCCCCTTCCTCTGTAGGGAAGACGATTGCCCAGGATTCCCGGGCACATGGCAAGCCTGATCGGCAGCTGCAGCTGCTAACTGGGAGCTGAGGCCCCCTTGCTGGAATGAGATGGTTCCCATAAGCCCAGGAAGGAGCTGGCTACCGGATGAGTTTTAGCTCCCAAGAGGAGCTAAAACGGACATGTTGAGAATAACATGGTATGGCCGTAGCAATTACTCTTCCCTTTCCCCAAAAACCAAAGACCCCAGCCAATCCCTAGCAAGAGAAACTTTGGGAATTAATAGTACTCTTAGTCACACATGCAAATCACACAATTCTATCCTGAGTTGACATTTTTAAATTTATTGTAGCATTACTATCAAGAATACATGTTTATGGTAGTATCACTATCAAGAATACATATAAATACATGGCTAAAGCCAAGGGCAGGACATAAGGAATATTCCAGGGTTAGTCAAAAGCTAGTCTCCCAAGAGGCCCAGAAGTCTAGATAGTAATGGGGTAAAGGACATGAGATTCTTGGTAGACTGTCACCTCTTATGATCCTTGGCAAGAAGGGCAGAAATAGGGAATATCTGGTGAACTGAATGCAAACTGAGAACTAATCAGTATCATGCAGGCTGGAAGCAGTACTTCTACTAGTGATTTGTTATAAGACCTACAGACTAGAGAACTCTGTGTGGCTGGTATGGACAAAGGAGCCAGATATGAGAAAACAACTCTCTAAAATGTTCCTTAAAGCAGTAAGCACGACTACTTTGTTCAATGAGATCAGATAGGGGAACTTCTGCCTTCCAACCCACCTCCCCAGCATGACCACCATTCCAGGCTCCCTGACAGTTCATTTCCCTCCTCTCAGTTTCAGCTCAGGGTTCAGGGAGTTCTCCGAGAGCAGAGCTCTGCATCCTGACCCATTTCCTCACTGCCTTCTTCAAGCTCAGACGCTGACAGGAAAAGGCTGCCTATGCCTGATGGGCTGTTCCTTAGTACATGGCCCAATGCCTTCTCATAACATTTGGCTGCTTGTAGCAGATCTCCATTCAGCTTGTGGATTAATCCTTGGAGATACCAAGAATTTGGTGCATTTCGTGGAAGCTGATTTTCACCTATGTTCTGTAGTTGGTATTTCATCTTTTCCTTCTCAGTTGATACTGTGGTTATGGGCAAACCCTCTGAATAATGTTGGACAGCAGTGTCTTCCGACTTCTCACAGTATTCCCGAAAGATGGAAGAGCGCTGATAGAGTTGTTGCCTCTCAGTGCTAGGGAGCTCCTTACTATCTATTACTATCTGACGATTTTCTTCTGTTTCCAAGAGCCCAATGAGATCAGGATGTACACTCAGAGGATCTAGGCCCTTTTCAATAGCTTTAGTCAAATAACCCACAGCACATTTTCTTAGTCCTTCAATTTTTTCTCTATGCCCACTTGTTTCCAATTCTCCTGTATTCTGAATCTGTTTGACTTTTGCCTTATAGCAATACGCGATCTGGTAATGAAGGTAGCCATTGTTTGGTAAGGATTCCAGTGCCTTTAAAAACAGTTCAATAGCTTTGTCTAAATCACCTTTTCTTTTGTAAAATTTGGCTGCACTGCAAAGGACATCTGTTTGGCAAGGTGCTTTCTCCAGGGCCTCTGCAACCAACTGCTCCCCTTCAGCCTTTTCATTCATCTTCTGCAATTTCAGGGCCAAGAGAACTTTGATATACTCATTGTTAGGACTCAACTCAATAGCCTGTTTCAGAACCTTGACTGAGAACTGGTTCTGTGGTTTTTTATCCAGACAGTACATCGCGATCGCCAGTCCAGAGGAGAATTCTGGGTCATCAGGTTTCTCTTCCAGAGCCTTCTCAAAACACACCTTCGCCCTTTCATTTTGCCTTTCTCCACACTTTAACCGTGTCCACCCTTCTTCACAGTCTAGCTCAGGACACTCAATACTGTAAGGATTTGAAAACTTCTCACATACTTGTTTCACCTTGTCTGCATAAGTCTGAGCTTCTGAGAGTCTGCCCAGGTGGTAGTAGATCCAGGCATAGTTTCCCCAGGTGACCAGGCTCCTGATTTCTGCTGGGCCACTGTGCTCTCGCTGGATCAACTCTTCAGCTTGCCCTAAGCATTCCAGGGCTGCCTCATTTTGGCCTCTAAGGTGTTTTACGTAGGCCAACAAGTTGTACATTGTAGCTTTGAACTCAGTATTTAAAAATTCAATCTGGTTACACACTCTATCTTCTAGATCATGTGAGATACTTTCTCCCTTAAATAAGTTCCATGTGAAATGGCACTTCAGCTTTGGAAGGATTTTGTCCAGAGAACTCTTGCTGACTTTGCTGTGGAGAAAATGGACATGGTCACTGATGTGCGCCTGCTACGGATGGCACCCTGTGATGCAATTACAGGTTAATCTTGTGTGGGTGCTGGATATCTAGTTAACATTAGTTCTGGGCATATCTGTGGGTGTTCCCAGAAGAGATTAGCATTTGAATCAGTAACCCAAATAAAGCAGATTGCCCTCCCCCATGTGGATGGGTATCACCCGGTCTGTAAATGGCCTAAGTAGAATGAAAAGATGGAGGAAGGGTGAATTTCTTCTCTCTGCCTGGCTGCCTGGGCTGGGACATTGGTCTTCTCCTCCCGAGTTCAGATGGGGACTTACAGCATCGGCACTCCTGGCTCTCGGGCCTTTGGACTTAGACTGCAGCTAATACCATTGGCTTTCCTGGGACTACAATTTGCAGACAGCAGATCATAGGGTGTCTCAGCCTCTGTAATCATGCGAGCCAATTCCACATAATAAATTTCTCTCATTCTGAATATATATGTGCATATTTTCTTTAAATACATATGTGTGTACATATATATATATATACACATATATATATATATATATTTAACCAACATCAGGTGAGAATCTTTATTTTAACAAATACAGGCAGTATAAAAAATTTGACCCAGAAGGTACAGTAAAAAGCAGATAAAAATCAATGTTTACACATTACTGTAAAAACAGTACACAGGAGGTTAAAATTCTCAATGAGGAAAACCAAAATATGCCCAGTTGTATAAAGGATGGTCAGCGTGCTCTCGCTGGATCTTTGTTTCCTGCAAGAAACAAAGATAAAGCTAATGATCCAGTTTTGTTCCACACTGAAAAGTGTACAAAGTAACAAAAAAACAGTCGAGCTTGAACGTTGTGAGCCCACCACTTGTACCTGCTCTTAAACTGGGAGCAGTTGGTATCTGCAATGCAAGGCAGAGCCAAGGAGCAGACAGCCAAGAATTCTTCAGCAGGGAGTTCATCCCACAGTGACCTTCGACGAAAAGCTGAAGAAATCTGAGCTCTGTGAGTAGCTGACTGAATTTCCTCCACTGTAGTGCCCCAAATAGTTTCCTTTTTGGCCAGCAAAAACCCCAAAGAGCCTGCAACAACGGCCTTCGGCAAAGGCCTGTTGCCTCACCCCAGGCTTCATGGGTTGGGCCTGACACTAATTAGCAGTGTGTGCGTGTGTATGTATATATATATCCTACTGGTTCTGTATCTCTGGAGAATTCTAATACACCTACCTAATTGTTCCCAGGCAGAAGAGGAGGTACTTTCCTCTTGGTTCCTAGATTCACCTTTCTAGAGCTATGATCTGTGCAGGAGCCTGTGGAGCACACCTTCCCCTATGTGAGCAGGTGTGCAAGAGGTGAGGCAAACAGGTGAGAGGAAAACATTGTGGTGACAGAAACGGGACCTCTCTTGTCCTGCTCAGCTACAAAGTCAGGGCCCAGTCCTTGCACATTTTGGGTAAGGTTAGCTTAGCTATCCAGTGGCCCTTTACCAGATTACTGTCTTCATGGCACTTTGTTAATTTTGCAGGTTGCTGGAAAAATAAAGATGATCCTGACCCACTCTACCCCCAGGAGCTCACAGTTCTGGTTAGAAGGAGCCATGCAAAGAAACAAAAGCCCAAGGATGTGATTTATCCTTATATGCTGTGTGATTTATCCTTTTCCCCTTCATCTTCTCTACCACCTCCCTCCCGTCACACACAGACTATGGAAATTTGGTTTCAGTCTGATTGAGGCAGTCTCCCTGACATGGGCCAGATCCCCAGAGAAAATAAGCTGGAGAAACAAGCAAACAAAATAGACAAATTTGCGTTTTGTAGTTGGAAGTTGCCTTGTTTAGATAAATAAGTTACCTAAGTTCTCAAAGTGTGTTCTCACACCTGTATTTGCCTGGGGCTTGGGGTATGATTTTCTGAGTTCGTGCTCCTCTTTTTTTGCCAGTAGATGCTTGGCACCATGAGACAGGAAAAGATGTTCAGAGATCATTTAAACTCAGTATTGTCCATGTTTTTGGATTTCACAGACTAGCACAATTTCAGAAAAAAAAGTTATGAACTAAATAGAGCTGCCTACTTATTTGGCAATACAAGTTACAGAGAGAAAGTTCATCCTAAAGACACCAACTATCTCCTGTCACCTGCACATTTCATAAAAAAAAAAAGAGATAAAGGAAGCATTTTTATTATCATCAAAGAAGTGAGAAGAATGTAATCTCAGTAAAAATGGGAAGTTCTTTAAATTGTCAAAATACGTTTTGCTCTATGAGGATCACTGACTATTTGCAGTTGACCACAGACCAGCCCTGGCCCACACACCATTGCCACAAACGCTGTGATCCACTTTCCATCTCTCTCCAGCAATGCTCATCTATGCCATTGCTGACCCAGTGTGACTGCACATGAAATGCTCTATAGGGAGAGATGTAGAGGCAAAGGACTCAAGACAAGGGAAGAGGGGAAGCTGTGGGCTTCACATATAAAGTCTAAAAATCAAATGAATAATCATATCTGACTTGATTTTTTATAGTTCATGATTCGTGATCAAAACAGAAACAGTTTCCGTGATATGAGTGCCCTTGCACTGTTCACCATGTAAGAACTTGGTCCCTACGTAAGAACTTGTTCACCATGTAAGAACTTGTTCATTATGCTTCAGAAGATTGGAGACTGTTGAGAGTTGGGGTTGATTAATGATTGTGTATTGAGTTTCCTATACAGAATTTTATTGTTGTTAACAACCATTTGATCAATAAATATGAGAGATGCCGTCTCAGCACCACTCTTGCGCTGTCACTCCTTGAGTCCCCTTGGCTGGTCCTTTCAGGTCTTCGATAACTCATCGCATCTCCTCCCTTATCTGTGGGTCAGAAGCAGGGAGGGACCAACAGGAAGCTGCTGTCTATGTAGATACCCTTTTTATATGTCTGCCTCTTTTCTTGGCAGTCTTTTTTGTTGTTTTGGTCCCTGGCTAGATCACCACAATACACACAATGTTTCCCCTCTCCATTCTAGGGTTTTCCAATTTGGCTTTACCTCACAATTCTGGCTTCCCTATATGAAGGAACTCAGGTTAGCAATTATTAGACAATAAATAGTTATAAAGATAACCATGGAACATATCTCTCTTTATAACTGCATATAACTAAAGCATAATAAAAGCATTTCAGTGTTTCAGCTTTAGTTAACTTTGTTGATTGTTAACTAGGAAGTTTAGAGAAGTTTAGAGAGAGGGAGGGAAGTGTGGGTTTCAGATCAATAGAATGTGTCTACAGTTTTCTAGCTGTATAGGGACCTGGAAATAATAGCTGAATTTCTCAGTGAGCCTATAGAAAGATAGGTGACTTTGGATCTTTTTGCTTAAAAAAAAACCAGAAACCACCTGGACAGTTTGATGGCTCTGTCTCTTCCCCCCAACCCTGTGGCAGTGGTGCAGGCTTGGACATACCAGTAAGCCAGAGGGAGCTTGCCAAACTAAATATTTAAGCACTTACTGATAAAGATTCTCTCTCCAAGATGAAACATATTCCAACGCTGTCATAGATAGGCCTCAGGAGATGTCACTTGCTCAAGGAAGGAAGGGCAAGCAGAAAAGCTCACTTACATTCTGGAGCCTACGAGAGAGCCCCAAGGATGGAACTCTTGGGGACATTCCATCCATACCACCCCTTAACCTATGCTAGAGCTGGCCATGCTAAGAAATCTATGGTAAGGCTGAACAGTTTATTCATGAATCTAGCCAACTTTGGATTTGGCTTCATGATTATAAAACCTGCTGAAAATTAGAATTCAGTGATTTTTCTTAAGCTTTCCTCCATAGATTTCCAGTTTGATTAGGTATTTGATACTTGATCTCTCCTGGAAGTAAGATTCGGAACAAAGTATACTAGACTGGGAGTCCAGAGATCTGGATAAGAAGAAACAGAAAGCCCAGAGCCAGGTTTGCCTTAAAATACTATTGCCTTGGCAGGTAAATTGCTTACATATCTAGTCTAATGATTAAAAGATATAAGTTAAAAGAAAAAACAATAACTATAAAAATTAATGTAAATCCAAGGTAAAAAAAATACATAAATTGTGACATCTAAAACAAAATGTGGGTAGAGAAGAGAGTAAAAAGGTATAATGGTAGAATTTTAGTATGTATTTGAACCTAAGTTATCAGCTTAAAATAGACTTTTACAAATATGTTTTATATAAGTGTCATGGTAATCACAGAGCAAAAACCAGTAATAGATACGCAAAAGAGAAAGAGAAAGGAATCTAAGCATATCACTGCAGAATATCATCAAATCCCAAGGAAGAGGGTAAGAAAAGAAGAAAGGAACAAAGGAAGTATAAGACAACTAGGAAATAATTAACAAAGTGGTAATAGTAAGTCTATAACTACCAATAATTACTTTAAACATCTATGGACTAAATTCTCCAATCAAGACACAGCATGGCTTAATGGATAAAAAATAGGGCCAAACTACATGCTGCCTTCAGCTTTAAGGACACACACAGACTGAAAGTGAGGGGTTGGAAAAAAGTATTCCAAGCAAATAAAAAGAAGCAGGAGTAGCTGTACTTATATTTGACAAAATAGACTAAGCTTTAAGGACACACACAGACTGAAAGTGAGGGGTTGGAAAAAAGTATTCCAAGCAAATAAAAAGAAGCAGGAGTAGCTGTACTTATATTTGACAAAATAGACTTTAAACCAGACTGTAATAAGAGGCAAAGAAAGTCTTTATATATTGGTAAAGGGGGATCAATCCAACAAGATGATATAATATTTGTAAATATTTATGCACCCTACATACGAGCACCTAAATATATAAAGCATATATTAATAGATCTGAAGGGAGAAAGAGAGCAATTAATAGTAGGGGACTTCAATACTTCAATGGTGGATAGATTATCCAGACAGGAAATCAATGAAGAAACACTGGACTTAAACAACACAGTAGGCCAAATGAATTGAGGCGTTTACAGAGCATGCCATCCAACAGCAGCAGGATACACATTCTTCTAAAGCACACGTGGAACATTCTCCAGGACAGATCATATGTTAGACCACAAACTAAGTCTTAATAAAATTTAAGAAGATTGAAATCATATCGAGTATCTTTTCTGATCAGTATTTAGCCATAAAAGACAAGGATATGTTGTCATTGTCAGCATGGCTGGACCTTCAGGACATTATGCTAGGTGAAATAAGCTAGGCAAAGACAAATACTGCATAATACCACTTACAAGTAGAATCTAAGAAGAAAATTAAAGGCAAACTCTTGGAAACAGAGTAGAGAGGTGGTTGACAGGGCAAGGTAGGGAGGAAGTAGGGAGGCTGGTGAAAGGGCACAGACTTCCAGCTCTAGGACGAGTAAGTCCTGAGGATTTAATGAAAACACACTGACTGTTGATAACACTATGCTGTATGATTGAAATTTGCTAAATTTTAAATTTGCAAAATTTCTCATTAAAAGAAATACTATGTGAGGTGGTAGATTATTAATTAACCAGATGAGGGGAATCCTTTTACAATGGATGTGTCATCAAATCACTACAGTGTATGCTAAAAATCTTACAATGTTATATGTCAATTGTACCTCAATACAGTTGAAATACAAAAAACAATTATCTTAGTAATTCTTTTTACTGTTTCTACTATATAGGTTATGTACCTGAAATACTTTGCTTTTTTGCCCCTTCAGATTTTACTACATATTTATGGTATGTTAATTGACATATTTATGATAATGTTAACATATTTAACTGAGTAAATTGAAACAAAATGTTTGAAGATAATTTTAACTTAATAAAATGTAAAAATATTATTGCCTTGTTAAAAAACAATACTCCATTTGCCAAGGTTTCCTCACTTACTGATTTATCTCATGTGTTTTGAAAGTTGCTCTAAATGCTCCTTATATATATATGTTTAATATTTAATAAATTACTGAATAGTAATGCAATTCAGATGTTTAAAGGGAAGACAAGCAAGCAGGGAGGAGATGGCTGCGTCACTTCTAACTGAGAATGCCTACTGTCGGGGGAAGCATGGGCCCTGAGTGCTCTTCTGCCGGGAGATTCTGTGTCTAGTAGCCAACACTGGGGCTGTGGGAGCCCCTTTGTCTCAGGAAGAGATTTCTCATGGCTTCAAGCTGCAGGTTCCACTGACCAAGGCCGATAAAACCAGCACTGCTAGCCCTTAAGAAATACCCAGAATCGACCCATGTACAGTCTGTCTTCCTTCTCTGGCTCACCTGCCTGGATGATGAGAGCCTATTGGTGCTGCCCACAGACACCAGAGTAGATGCCTCATGTCCTTCCAGGGCCTCATCAAAGCCATTGCTAGAATAGAATCTTGAAATTTTCAGTAAGAGGACTATTTAAATGGTAAAAGTAGGAGTTGTCAGGGAGCTTGTACCACTGGTGCTCTGGTCATGCTGAGCTTGAACTACATGAAGGGACAGGCCAACCTCATGCCCTGTAAGTTGGTCAGAAAGGGCACAACCCCAAACTTCAAAAATTTCAAAAACTGAGCCAACAAACTCTACAGAGTAGAGCTTCTCACACTTTAATGCACATGGACCCAGACCCTGGAGGATCTTGTTAAAGCAAAGATCCAGATTCAGTAGGTCTGGGATGCTGCCTTTATAAACATCCCAGGAGATGTTGGACTCAGACCACGTGGTGAGTAGCAAGGCTCCAAGAAGGCTTAACTTTTTGGTAGTGATTTCCAATTGCCAGTTTCTCATATGCAAAACATCCCTTAAATAGGCAAGCCTTGCTGTATTCCAGCATCCTCCCCACCCTCCCTCTCCCCATGCCCTTTGGCTTTTCTCCACTCACATTGACACACATACAATGCAAGGAACATTTAGTGTGTATATAAAGTACCTGTGGTCACCTTTACATATGTATTTTTCTTTTATAGGCCTTATTTCTGACCTACTCAGTCTGGATTGCAGAATGCAGGGCCTTTTCATTCAGGCTGGTTATGATATGGAGAATCTGCAGCACAGTTTGAGGCTCTGCAACACTTTCTCCCTGTTCATAGTTCACAGAAGAGGTCTAGCAGATCAGTAAGAGCCTCAGGTAGATACATTCCTTAGTTCTGAAGAGCACATTTCAAGGTAAAAGCAACCTCATTATGAGTTAGAGTTTTGGAGTGCTGAATTAGTCATGAGCACGTTTGCTGAGAAATAAGCATGCTTTTAAAATAACAACAGCCACATAAAACTCACAGACCTCTGATTTAGTCTTTACAAGTACAAGAAACTCAAAAGGGACCAGTACCTCCAGTAACTATCCTCCAGGCCCCATTGACCAGATTTTGTGTGAAAGGATCTGAGCATGCTCTTTCCACAAGCTCATGTCGCTTCCTAGCTGCCAGTTCCTGCTCTGCTGGGAGCCCTTCCTTCAGAGTCCTTGGGCTGCCTGACCATAAATCAGAAAGAGCCACAGGGAAAAAAAAAATGCATGAATTGGTAAGATTGATTTGTGATTGAATTAGATCAATGTGTCTTTAATTCATAAGCAAACACAGAGTCAGCCTAATTCCAGAAGTCACCTGCAAGAACAGGATCTGAAAGAAATTCTCAACTCCCTATAAGAAAAGCAGGGTATATTTACCTCATGATGGCTGTTTCCCTGCAGTCCTGAAAGCCGGTGTCCGGGCTGACTTTGTTCTCTGTTGTGGATCAGGAGCAAATGTGGAAGAGGCTTCCTTCCAGGATACTAGCCCTTAGTTGAGGGCTTTTCTGAAACAGAACAGGAAAATGAAACCGATCCAGTGCTATCAAGATGCCAGTTGAGGAGAAACTGAAACTATGTGAGCTCTGAGCTCACTCACTCTTCCTGGGAATGTTCTACACAAATCCCAACACTGTGAGTGAAAGTTTGCATAAAGGTGTGGCAGACACCTTACACACTATGGGCGCTGCTCCCAGAGGCTCTGATGCAGTCTAGGGGCGGGCCCGGGCTCCAGAATCTGCCTTTTTACAAGCGCCCTGGAAATGCTGTTGCAGGAGGGCCTGTCCCACATTTTGAGAAGCACTGTTCTGGGGGGATTTTGAAAAGCAGTTTCCCATTTACTTTTCCTCACTCCCTGAGTAATCACTGGGATCCTCCCTCCCCAGGCAAGCAATCCCTCAATCCCTCCCCATAGGTGTTTGAGGGGAAAGGCTTCTTTTTCTCTCAGCTCTATCTTTTCTGAGGCTGTATTTGATGGAATAACTTGAGCAGGTTTATATGGATTTCTTTTTAATTAAGGTCTCATTGATACACAATCTTCTGAAGGTTTCACATGAGCAACATTGTAGTTTCAACATTCACCCATATTATCAAGTCCCCCCACAAACACCCCATTGCAGTCACTGTCCATCAGCATAGTAAGATGCTATAGTCACTACTTGTCTTCTCTGTGCTACACTGTCTTCCCCATGACCCTCCTACATTATGTGTACCAATCATAATGACCCTTACTCCCCTTCTCCCTCCCCTCATCCCGCTCCCCCCCAGCACCTCCCCTTTGGTAACCACTAGTCCCTTCTTGGAGTCTATGAGTCTGCTGCTGTTTTGTTCCTTCAGTTTTGCTTTGTTGTTATACTCCATAAATGAGGGAAATCATTTGGTATTTGTCTTTCTCCACCTGATTGATTTCACTAAGCATAATACCCTCCAGCTCCATCCATGTTATTGCAAATGGTAGGATCTGTTTTCTTTTTATGGCTGAATAATATTCCATTGTGTATATGTACCACATCTTCTTTATCCATTCACCTACTCATGGATGCTTAGGTTGCTTCTATATCTTGGCTATTAATACAGATTTTTTAAAATCAAGTTTACCAAGATTATACCTCATAGAATAAAATGCACCCTTTTTAAGTGTATAGTTTGAATGAATGTAACCCATGTAACCACCACCAGGATCTCTTTATTTGACTGTTTGTATTACACCCAGGGATTCCCTGGTGCACCTTTGTTTACACCAAGCTCTGCCCCACCCTGTGCATCCCCAGACCACCTGTGACCTGCTTTCCATCACTAGAGATTTGATTAGTATTCAAAAGTAGATTAGATCATTGTGTTTTGAAGAGAAATTACTTTTTGCTGCTCCCCAGCTCTCATCAGAGCAATAAAGAAAACTCTTAAGATCTGGGTTTTGTTTTTCTATAAGAAATAGAAAAAAAAATCAGTAAGAATTGTTTCTTCCACTTCCCATTTTGAAGTGATCAAATGTTTCAGGGCAAAACTCTCCTTAACATGATTTGGGTTTGTACTACCAATTCTTTCTTTAATAATATCTGCTGAAAAGAAATGCTTCCTTTTAAAATGACAAGAAAAAAGCCTCTCAGCCCTTTCAAAGGAAACAACAGGACACTCATCAAGGGTAATTCTAACTCTGAATCAGCAAACTCTGTGCTTGAGTGGATCTAACCACTCCCGCCAAGCCTCCTCTCATCCTCACTTCTGGCTCCCAGCCCCACTCAGTGAGCAGCTCCAAAAATTGACGTAGTCTGTGTACACCAGAAAAAGCCACAGGAATTAAAATAGCCCATCCCGATAAAGGCGCATTTAATCCATAAGCAACAGGACTGAGGAACTTGCTGGCACCGGAAAAGGTCAGTTTACGATTTGCATTCAAGATCAAGGGTGCTTACACATTCTTACCTCGCTGGTCTCAGGACCGCAATCTGCTTCTCTTCTGTTCTGAGAAAATGGAGTCCAAGCTGATTCATTCTCCGGATATCCTCCTGGTCAGCCTCCAGTAAATTCTGAAGGAGCTTTGCAAAAGGCAAGGGGGTGGTGGGGGCAAGGAAGGCATCAGCTGATGCTCTCTCCCGTTTCTGACTGCTCGCCTTTGTGAAAGGGAAGAGGAACTGGAAAGTGAAACTAATTTCAGATCGGGAAGAGGCAGAGAAAGCTTAAGGTTGAGTTCTGCAATGACTCAGTCGAACAGTGTTGTTAAAAATGACTGAAGCAGTTTGAGAGAATGTGAAAGCTCTCCCAGGAGTCTGACCGTAAATTAGGGTGAGTCCCCAGAAACTGCATTTTTAATAAAGTCTGATGCAGGGGTTTCTGGGACCCCATGATGTGAAAGAAATATCTTGTAAAAAGTAGTTTCTCCCCGTAAATTTACCTGTGGGAGACAATTTGTAGTCAGAGACCTGGATTTAATTCTGTGTGTTCATTTGACTAGCTGTGGGATTATCAGTGAGTCAAACTGCTCAGCCTGAATTTCCTTTTTGCTCCACACTAAATTTGGCAAGCCAAGCCCCAGGGTGAACCCTGAGCAGTTCAGACCTCTGAGGTCTAAGGTAATCATTGACTCTTCCCAGCTGTAAAATGGGAAAAAGTAACATATATAATATTGTTTAATGGCTGGCTGATAAATTTATATATTTATGCTTTGAGCTCTGAAGAAGGAGTGATATTATTGTGACTTTTTCTCATTTTTATAGAACTTCCTAGCCATGATGTAAATATCCATAAAAACCTAGGGAGTAAAGTTCTCACAGCTGATTTAATGGTGAAGGAATTGTCAGATAGGAGAAAGGCTCCCTCCGTTCTGAAACTGCAGAAAGCAGAGACTCTCATATAAAAAAAAAGCTGGCATGGTTTTTCCAACAACAGGAGTGATCATAAGATACTTCCAGATCAGAGATTACTGTTATTTCCAAGTCTGTACTTCTGATTGTCTTACTTAACAATTTGTTATCTAGGTAGTAATAAAGTGACATACCTTTATAAAGGTATAAATACTTGTGATACTACGGAAGGTATAAATCCCACTCACAGGCCCAGGTAAGAGAGGCCTGTGCTTTAGGGGGGCCCACGTATCATAGACACAAAATGTTAATTTTTGAAGGAACACACGGCATCTCTGTTACTCAGAATCCAGTGCTTAGTGCTGGCCTAGGGAGACTGGAAACCCTAAACATCCAGCCCAAGGAAAATGTGTCTCTGTCTTTTGCCTTCTTTGCTCAAAGCAAAAGGAAATTGCATTGTGAAGGCTTCTGTGTTGTGAGGTGCTGATTTTCGAGGCCATCACTGCTTTGGAGGGCAGAGAGGATCTGAGCAGCAGAAGTGGTTGGATCAGAGAAAAGGCCAATGTACTGATCTGGTCAAAGCCTTCCTCTCCCTGAACGCAGGAGAGTTACGTAATGAAGAGCTATTATCTATTACAGTAGCATTAAGCTGCCCATTTTTTTGCTTCTCTTGCTCAAATTCCTGCCTCAAGAAGTACTAGTGAATTAGTACAGTATTTGCAACAGTGGCATATGATGACATTAAATAACATCTTGCATATCAAGAAATTCATAGTACTCTTAAACTTGTACACATGTAGATTTAGACTTACACATTAAGTCAATTTTTCTTCTGTATTTGGACTCTTCCTTTGGGCCAATTTGCTCATGAATTTTCCTGGGTACGGGTATTTAGAAATACAATCATATGGGACCAGATTTTCATACCTATAGTGTGCTCAGAAAACAGAATACAGAATTTCTCCACACAGCTATTGCATGCAAAAGCAATGACAGTATTTAAAATGCTAGTAATAAAAAGGGTACAATACAATGAAAACAAACTTAGAGGTTAAAAATAGAAGTGACAAAAGAAAAACTTTTGAAACACGAGTTCTCATTCTTTCTTTAAGAGTATATTGAAATATAATTCACATACCATACAATTCACCCACTTAAAGTGTACAATTCAATAGCTGTCAGCATTTTACAGAGCTGTAAAGCCATCACCAATGGTTCTGTATTTTTTTTTAAAGCATTCTCATTACTCAAAATGAAATCCCCACACCTCTTTGCTGTCCCCTCCCAGTCCTCCCATCCACACCAGCCCTAGGTCACCACTAATCCACTTTCCATATATATATATATATATTTGCTTACTCTGGACACTGTATAAATAGAATCATACAATATGTGAGCTTTTGTGACTGGCTTCTTTCATTTAGCATAATGTTTTTAAGGTTGTATCTTGTCAGCAAGTACCTCATTTATTTGTATTGCCAAATAATATTCCACTGTATGGATATACCTTATTTAATATATCAATTTATCAGTTGATGGCTCTACTTTTGGGCTATTATGAATAAAGCTACTACAAACATTCATGTACATGCTTATATGAATATATATTTTCATTTCTCTTGGGTATATACCTCGGAATGGAATTGCTGGGTTGTGTGGTAACTATGTTTAACCTTTTGAGGAACTGCCAAACTGTTTTCTATAGCTGCTGTACCTCCTTATATTATTTAGTCCATTTCCCTCCTTGCAACCTCCTAAGAAGGTGTAGATTATTAGCAATGTTGCAGCTGCATTGTAAATCGTAAGAAAATTACGCATTAGTCAAACCAAGTCACTCCCTTCCCCAGAATAGATGATAGGAGAAGTGGTGGAGGAAGGAAGGAAACAGGAGCATATGGTCTGCAGTAGGGACCCACATTTCCCAGATTGGCATCCAGGGTTGACGCTGCATATGGTAGGGATCCTAACAGTCTTACTTGTGTTTATCTTCAGAATTTTAACATGTCCATGCTTCCAATGGTGCTGGACACAGGTCGTGCCAGCCAATTGACAGGTGGGAAGAAAGGTGAAACTGAAGCATGACTCAAGGTCTGCTGCCCCCCAGGCACCGTGTTTGAGGTCTCTGGACAAATCCACCAAAAATGATGACTTTTTCACTGAGGATTCTGAGGCTGGGAAATAATCCTTACTGCTTGGAACACAGACAGGGATGAGGGAAAGTCCTCACTCCTTCCTGGGCGGGCACTCACACACTTGAGAACATCGTCGACAGGGATAGTGCCCTCTCAGGGTGGCGGCCGCTGCAGGGAGTGCTGACATGCACTGAAGCAGCTTTGTGGCAGGGGCCACTGGTGGGCGTGGGTGCTGGAGCGACACAGACGGCAGGTGTGCTTAGAGAATTGCAAGAGATTTGCTCGTCAACACCTTGGAGACACCTACTGGGGGTTTGNTGCAGCAGTAGCGCTCCTCTACACATCATGTAATTATCATTTCTTTTTTGTGGTGGGAATAATTAAGCTCTAGTATCTTAGCAAGTTTGATTATAACACAGTATTGTGGTCTGTATTCACTATGCACTGTATTAGATCTCCAGGATTTATTTCTTTACTGGTTGCAAGCTTGCACCCTTAAACATTTCTGCGATTCTCCCATCTCCCAGGCCCCGGTAACCACTATTTAAGTTTAATTCCCACAGGCAAATATTTTGCTTCCCAGACGTTGACCAATGGTCTCATGCTAGGTCTGCTGACTGCTTTGGTTCATAAATACTGATGCCACAAGCCATTCAGGATCTACCTAGAAAATTCTAAGTGACCCAAGCATGCCATGAGTTTTGTGGTTCCCCTGAAGATTTTCATGCTTCACTGACGTTTTATATCACCTAACATATCTGAATGGGTGTGGGGAAGAGCTCCATTATTGAGGTCATTTCCCATGACCCTTCACTAGGTCCTTAGCCACCAAATGATACCCCTGTTCTGCTGCTTATCATGTTGAACCTGGCATTTTTTAAGAAAACATCTTCATCTTACAAAGAACTTTTCATAATAGTGGCTAAGAAAACAACATTTTCTCCCTATGATTACAACCAGCATTCCTCTCTCACTCTCTCTCTCTTTTGGCCTACTCTTTCTGCACCCCTACATTTATTTTCCCATACAACTTGTATAAAAATGTATTATTTTGCTCTCTAGAATATTGTACAGGATCCCCTTATTTATTCTTCATATGCTGTATTGCAGACTGCCTGACTCCATGGATTCTCCGACATATGTTCCTTCCAGATTTGACCTGCTGCTTTTATCAAACTGTGTTTCCACCTCAGTTAATGAGACAACTGAACTCATGTTGTTTAGGACAGTCTAGACTGAGGACTGTCTGGGGAGAAAGGGGAGGGAGGCAGAAGTGAGAGAGAGGATACCCAGCCCTATCTAGGCTTTGGTTCCCCCGCCTTTGGATAGATACAGCACCCTAGGGTCTATACAGGGCCAATCTTTATAGGACCTAAAATGACTCCAAGGAAGGAAAAACATTGCAAAAATAGACCATTATGTACAGATGGAAGGAATCTGGATGCTTTATATAAACATAGAAAAAAACAACCCAAGGCATCACCCCACAGAAGGTAACTAAGAGAATGTCATGGTGCAAACTGCTCCCAAAAGGTCATTTGGGTAACAGCTCCTTTACCAAGCCCCAGGAAGTACCCCCCAAGTCTGGTCCATCTCTCAGAACTCCTCGAGCAAGTCAGGTGTTAACACTTGGCCCAGCAGAGTTACTCGATTACTGTAGCCAGTGTCTCAGTCCATGCCTGTGCCATACCAGTTGTTAAGTAAATACCAGCTTGGTGGAGGGGTTTCAGTGCCCTTCCAGCAGTAGCCCTGTGGGCACCATACCCTGATTCCTCATTCCTCAGCTAAAGATGCTGAAGAGACGAGGCTTCCAAAGTCCAAAGCCTCCTCAGAGTTTTCTTCTGCTGACTGAGGTTCTCCATTCAGCTCCTGAAGAAACGCCAAAAGCTGCAAAGCTTTAGAATCTGCTCCATTTTTAGAAAGCCTGCTTTTGGCAATTTTCTGCAGCTTGCTTTTAATGTCCTATTCAATGGTTATGATGTTAGGCCAGTCTGAGTTAAATGGATCCGGCTCATACCCAGCATAACTTGATTTTTCAGAAGCTGAGTCTGGAAGACATAAGGTACACCAAGATTTCAGAAAAAACAGAATACCCCCTTTTGTTCCATCACATCTAAGTTATTTATTAATGTAATCTATGACTTTTTTCAGAATCTGTGCTATGCCTACTGATGATCTCAAGCATACACTATTTTTAATACAGAAAATAACGTGAAAACTGTTGTTACAGTTGGAATTTT